AGTAGTAGTAAGGAGGAGGAGGAGGAACAGGAGGGCGAGTAGTGGTATGTTGTAGCTCCGGCACTAGCACGAGCACTGGCACTGGCACTAGCACTAGCACTGGCAGTGCATGTATAAGCATGCATGTAGGCATGTGCAGATTGTGCTTGTATTGTCTTGTAGTGTGTATGTATGTATGTATGTATGTATGTATGAATGTATGTATGTATGCATGCATGCATGTATGTATGTGCGTATGCATATATGTATGTATGCCTGGACGTATGTACATACGTACATACGTAGGTGGGAAGGTAGGTAGGTAAATAGGTAGGTTGGTAGGTAGGAGCTTCAACCATACAGCCCGAAGCCCTAGATACCCAAAGCTCCAGCTTTTTCTTTCCGACCTGATTTTGAATGCCATAAAGTCTGCAGGTTCAGGCTTTGAGTGCCGCAGGAGATGGCGATCTGAGCCCCCGACCCGGCGATCTCGGGTGACTTTTAGGGTGGAGGGTTCTGGGTTTCAGGGAGGGTTCAGGGTGAGGTGTTTTGAGGTTGTATTCAGGTTTAGGGTTTCACGGGAAACTTGTAATTCTTTTGCCATGGATGCAAGCTACGCTGTGGTTGAAGCAGGGTTCCAAGGGAACTGTCAGGCACTTGGAGTAGGTCTTGGGAGGGAGTTGAAATTCGCCCGAGAACCGGCTAGAAGGGCATAATGTTTCAGGGTTTCCACCTGCGCCGACTTCAACTCGTCACGATTCAACGGAGCCCAGAGCTGAGCATGAAGGTGAAGCTCTGGTGGTGCGCACGGGACCCATCCGGCCAAATGCGCCTCCTAGCCCAGAGGCGGGCGGGAGATTCGAGCAGTGGGCATTTGAAGAGGCTGCCTTCGGGTTTGAGGTCGCTAGGGTTTCGAACATCCTGGTTTTCGGTGTCGGTTTAGGCACAGCCAACTTGGATTCCATGTGCCCTTTTCCGAGCCTGAGTTTCCTTACGGAGTGAGCTTTCAGTTAGACAGTCCTTAGTCCCAGATGCCTAGCAAGAGTGGAGACTGCTTCTGAACTTCTACTGACGTGGCTGAAAGGCTTCAAGTTCTGCAGATGTGATTCGAACTCTCTGCCAAAGGTGGTGGGCATTGGCCAGCTGTGCACCCAGAAGTTCGACTCGAGTTTTCAATCGCTGGTCTGGTTCTGGGTGCATTGGATTTGGGTTTAGCAGAAGGCTCGGGGCCTACGTTCAGACACGGGGTTCGGGGAATTGAGCTGCAGGCTCAGAGGCGTGCCGGGCATAGCAAGACATCCCAGATTTGCCAGATCCGTATTTCCATAGCATCCATAACAACAGGTGGCTTGGCGCTGATGGCCGATGTTTCTCGTTGAAATCTCTTCTGCTTCCTATTATCCATGCCAGTTCTGTTGTTATTTGTTTGCAGTAGCAGTTTGTTCGTGCCTGTTCTGTTTAGTTTTGATGGTGGTCGCTACCCTTGTCAGCATCACTGTTTTTACTATAACTAGTAGTTTCTTTAGGCAGCAGCTCAAACTCTACGATGTCCTGCCAGTTTCGCGTGGGAATTCACGATGCCTGGGCCCAAAGCCTCAAACGCCAAAGCTGTGTCGACTCGCGTGCTGGGCTCGAGAGCTGCGGCGGTTTCGGAAAGCATGGGTACTTTGTTTTGCACCTGTGCAACCCTAGCGCAACCTGATGTCGACTACTAGCAAACATAAACAAGATGTATATATACAAAGGTATGTATGTATGTATGTATGTACGTACGTACGTACGTACGTACGTAGGTTGTACGTAGGTAGGTAGGTAGGTAGGTAGGTAGGTAGGTAGGTAGGTTGGTAGGTAGGTAGGTAGGTAGGTAGGTAGGTCGGTATGTATGCATGCATGTATGTATGTAAGTATGTATGCATGCATGCATGCATGCATGTACGTACGTATGCAAGTATGTACATATACATATATATATATATATATACATATATATATATATATATATATGCTAACACCCCCAAGAACTACCGCGAGGTGCCGCGATAGCGCCACCAATCCGTTTAGGTTTCTGGTGTATGATCCAAGTTCAACGTTTGGTTTTGAAGTTCCGAGGGGACAGCATATGTATCTTGCGACTCTACACGCAGATGCAGATACCCCGAGGTCCGAGAGCTGATTTCTCTAACGAAGAGAGTCATGTCTGTCTGAATATCCGAACCTCAATATGGGCCCGAGTATGAACTCCCAAGGTAGCCTTCACTGTAGTCTCAGATCAAAGTCCCAGCAATACGTATGAATGACCGTGAGCCTTGACGGACTCCTATTCCTCAACAACAGTATCCCTAAGACTAACCCGGCCATTAGGCCCCAATGGTGACAGTAGTCTTCTATTTCATGTTCAGCAAAAAAGATGACTTATGGCCTCGTGTCTTAGTTCGTATAATCAGAATGCTATGTCGACTAGTAACCCCGCTATACATCCCCATATTAACTCCCATATCGACCTGAGGGTTAATATAAACACATATATCAGCCTGATTGGCCCTTCGATAGTAAGGATATTGCTGTCCCCTCGGCAACCCTAATATTGGATCTGACTCCAAGATGGGCCTTACTCGCAAACTTAATATTACCCATACGCTGCTCCCATTGGTAACCTTCGTGCTCTACCGGATACTTCCTTCAACAGCTACTCAAATAATGGCCTCAGGAGAAACCCCGACCATTGGCCTCATCAACAGGTTAATTAATCCAGATGTAGCTGTGGGATCCTTAACATGAGCATTCAAATCCCCGAAAAGAAAAGTCATGGCATTGGAAATGCAATTTCCTGTTCATATTGATACAGGTAAGCTAAATACTACCCAAACATTTACTACAACAGTAGTCGTCCTCTTCATGCTAATATTAAGCTACATATAGCGTTATCTATGCAGCGCCACGATCCTAGCTGCTTTCGATCTGGCGTTGCCCAAATGATGGCCCTTAGCTTTGTAGGGATGATACCAGCATCTGTTTGTTTACTGCAGCATTTGTAATGGCACCCCATTTCTCACTGTAGTATATGATCATGTCGAACGTGCCTGTATGCGTGCATGTGCACTTATTTGTGTGTGTATATACACATGCTAACCCGAAGGTTAAACCTGTACTAGATACCAACATAATGACGAGGATCCTGAACTGACTCCTGAATCCCGACAACATCAACCCGAACCCTATCCCTGTCATTCGCCCTGCTGTCACCGTAATAGTCGCCCTGACAGCAGCCATAAAGCCATCCACAGTAGGCTTAATACCACCCATAATCTGACCCCGATGTTGCTCTTATGTAACTGACAACCTTAGTCAGCTAGAACAATGACACCGGAACCTTGTTGGCAACACTAATTCGTAACGTGCACAAACAACAAATGAAATACACACTCTTTGCTAGGAAAACTTGGCCTTGGAGTGGAATACAAACTTTTGCCTAGGTTTTGGCTGGGAAAACCAATTGTTTCCTGGGAAAGAATGGTTTGAGACCGGAAAACCAATTTTACCGAAAAGCCAAAACACACAAAACAAAAACATTTTTTGGGAAACTAAACGGCCAAAGTCCAAAAAGATGTGTTTTTTTTTGGTGTTTTTTTTGGAAAAGGCTGGTTTGAAGTCGAAACAATAACTGTTGTATGGAAAACCAATTTTTTCCAAGCAAAAAGATGGTTTTGTGCCGAAATACCAAATTTTTCCTAGGAGCAAGATAGTTTTGGATAGGAAACCAACTCTTTCCTAGGAAAAAGATGGTATTGGCGTGAATAACCAAATTTTTTTTTACGGAAAACCAAACAAAAAACATCTTTTGAGTCTTTGGCCGCACAGTTTCCCAAAAGATGGCTTTTTTGGCTTTTGAAAGATACAGAATCCAGACATGCCGGAAAAGTTGGCGTGGCAAGGTATTTACGATACAAAACGAGGGTCGGTAGTTCATGCGGGGG